ATCTCATAACTCAAAAACCTACAGTGGTATGAGCTTCAAATTTTCAAGAGAGAGGGAAAAATTTTGGAGAACTGAAAGTCAGAAAGCTAAAACCAATTTTAAATAAAATTATATCAAATTTTGTAGCTCTGAAACCAAGAGGGTTACAAACTCAAAGTCTGATAAAATGTTTGTGAGTATGCGTAGAGTTAAAACTCAGAAAACCAGATTTTTGGTGGCCCTGTTCCCGATATTTGTCTGGAGGTTCGAATTCGAGCAAATTTTTTAGCCCAAGAACTATGTATTTTGAGGTGAAAGTCCCTTAGAGTTTATCCCGAGGATCTACAGCAGCCTAGCACAAAAATGCATAATTCTGCAATTCCTTAGTGAGATTTTGGCGCTCCTTGCTTGGATTAAGAAGCACGCATTTCTGTCAACCTCCAGCTGGATGTGTAGTACTACGTTTTGCCCTTCTGGCCTCTGCTTTTCTGAATATATTGGGCTGAAATCCCAACTTTGCGCTTAAAAGTTTTGTTAAAAATTTGATTTTCTAATAAAATATAGAACTTAAAACTGGTTGTTTGATTTTGAGGCTGAACTTCAAATTTATCTGTATGATCTTGTGGCTGCTGATTCTAGGCAAATGGAAAGTCAATTGAATTAGTAATTTTTTTATTCTCAGTGCAACGAATTTAATCATTCAAATGGTTTTCAAATCAGAATTTCCATCAGACTGCCCAGCACTCAGTGAGAGTTTAAATTAAATTTTAACGGAAAGAAATCAATAAAAATATGCACTATTTTCCCAGCGTCTCCGTTGTCTTATTATATATTTATCGAATTTTCAGCTCTTTTAACGATTTTTTTTGTATTGCCAAAACTGCTTTTCTAACTCTCTGCAGAAATCTACTTCCAGATAATCTGATTATTTTGAAGTTTTTTCTTCTAAATATGCCAGGACACAAAGTCTGCCTGGACAATCAAATTGGGTATGCCATCTTACTGATTTTACTAGGATGCCCCTATACGTCGGACGCAACTGTTCCAGGCCTTATTAAATACACT